CTAAATAGACTATAAGAACTAAGAATGTAACATAAAAACCGTCAAATATAATAACTCTATTTAAATGTGAATAAAAAAATTTTGAATTTAGAGTTTCTAGTATTATTATGTACATATCTATTACGTATAGATGAGATGACATACTTTTCATCAACTTGATATAATTTTCACAAAAAGGGGGCGAACTTACTGCCATCCCACGCTATCAAAGTAAAAATCACGTCATAATGTGTTATGGGAAATCCCTAGCGTTCCAACGGAAACCAGTCGTATCAAAATAGTTAAAATAATTAAGAAATGTAAAACGTGCAGCGATGATTCATTAAAACATTGGGAATTACATTAATTACAATGGACATAACATGGACTGGCGTATCTACTTATTTCTCGAAGAACATAAATATACATTAAATGAATGTATACTTATTGTGTGTTAAGTTTGTGCGTGTGATAATGTCTCTAATTGTTACCTATTTGGCACTTGAAAATAAATAATAATATACAAAAAACATAAATTGTACTATTTTAAATGGCATCCCCGATCGTGGGCAAACCTCTTTAGGCGAAATTTCACTAAATAGGCCTTTCGAGGAGAATAACACTTCCACTATAATCATATTATCCAAATCATTACTTTATAAATCGAAAATCTACAAAATTGCTTTGCTTCATACCGGATTCGGTCGAAGTAGTAAAATAATAAATATATAATTCAAAATAAATGTTAATAACTACTTTGTAAAGTTGTGGCGCCAATGATAACTGACAGGAAAACGTTGTTATTATTTTGTTGCTGTGGATGTACACGTATATATATATATACATATGCATAATGGTTTTATTTGCAGTCTGCTAACGAGAAGTTTGGTACCTTAAAAATTATAGATGATAATGATGCAGGACCATGTCATGGTCACCATATATTGGCTATATATTGATAAAATTATAGAATAATTTCAAATCTTTGTCAAATATTAACCAACTTTTTCCTGTTGTAGGAAAGAAAATAAAATAGGAACTAGTTTCTAATTCGAAATAATCAAAATCTGTTCATCCATTTAGGACCTACGTGTCCACATAATTTACGTTTACAGATACAGCATTGGGTCCATTTATACCACTGAGTCAGCTATACCACTGGTTCATCTATGCCTACCACTGGGTCCATCTATACCACGGGGTCATATATACTACTGGGGTATCTATACCACTGGGTCATCAGTAACACTGGGTCATCTGTACCAATAGGATATCTATACCACTTATTTTTAAGGGGAAAATTATCGCATGACTGCTCCCGCCTGGGTGAGGCGGGAGGGAGTGTTAGACTCTTATTGAATAAAAACTACCCTGGGCCCCATCCGTGATGGTCTGATGGCTCATTGAGGCGCGCGCAGAACGCGACGCGCCGCCGCACGCTCGCATATCTATACCCCTACTGAAACTAATATCAATCTCTGTTTTACATCTTATGTAGTTACTATTTTTATTATTATACATATATTTTATTCGTTTACAGGAAAACCAGAAAAGTTCGAGAGAGCTTCTGGAAAACGTCCTCTATTAGATTCTTACGTCGAACAATAAGAAAACGTGAATACCGATATGTTAACGTAAGTTTATATATTTGTTTGCTTATGCCTGCGGCTTCACCCGCTTTCCCGTAAAATAAAAAGTAGCTTATGTGTTATTCCAGTATAACAAACATACTATCATTTATAATATCAGTAGGATAATTTTAGGTACCGACAGTACTACGGTAAAACCGCCATAGTTTTTTACCATGTAACTTTTAATTGTATTCAACAAGGGGCGCGGGACAAAACCGCTAGTGCGCCCACTAATGTTCGATATCGATGCGGTTAACAACTACTGCGTCTCTGACCTAGTGCGGCCATTGCCACCTAAATACAACATAGAATCACTTTTTAGTTCGTTTTAGAAAAGTACAAAACGTTAACTACAGTTTTTACCTTTAAAAATAATTTTATTTCCGTTTATAATTTGTTGTGAATTATAAATACATAAATGGCAGTATTATTTTCGTTTTAAAAAACAAACGTAGGTTAATTACACCGAAAACCATCAACATTTTTTTTTATTTGACAACAATATTGTTTAAACAAAAAAGCTGTAATGTTATTCTAAATGCTTCAGTATTTTTCCTATTTAAGTTCGGAACTTATATAAATCTGTATTTTTTGCAATATGTAAAGAAAAAAAGAAAGAAAAGAACGCCAAAAAACAAGTGACATGTACAAATAAGTTTTTTTTTTGGTAGGATCTGATGGATATACAAATGATCATGTCCCAAATCTGCCGTGAAATGGGACCAGTTCAGTACCATATAAGTGTTATACTTAGTTTTTATTTATTTTCAGAAAACTTACAGCGTGTGGTCTACTGAATGCTGTCGCGGATATGTTGTAGATAAACGAACTCCATCGTAAGTATAAACTTGAATGTATTTTAACAAATTGCTTAAAAATAGGAATCAATAAAGAAACAGATAGTATTCAACAAACTGCAAACAAAATTTCCAATTCAACACATATATATCTTCCACTATTTTCCCTTTCAGACTCACTTGTAAAGCTTCATGTTCAAAACCTTGTGTTAATGGATTTTGCCGCAATCCCGAAGAATGTGGATGCAATGCCGGATATATTTTAGATCTAAAGAACAAGTACAACTGTCTACCACGATGTTCCAAACCTTGTGGGAAAGGTACCTGTATAGCACCAGAAAAATGTAATTGCAATAAAGGATACAAGTTTTTAAATGGAACCTGCCAACCAATATGTTCCAAACCATGTATCAATGGCTCGTGTGTAAGTCCAGAGACTTGTCAATGTACAAAAGGATTTATAAAAGCAGATAAATATAGCTGTAAACCCTTCTGCTCCGCCGGGTGCTCTCACGGTACCTGTATCGCACCTGAAACTTGCAAATGCGATGCAGGCTATCAACTTGTTCAACCAAAAGGTAGTACCAAGAAAACATGTCAACCGATTTGTTCAAAAGCTTGCGTTAACGGCGCTTGCACAGCTCCAGAAACGTGTGTATGTACAAAAGGATACACTAAAGTCGATAAATACAACTGTAAGCCCTTCTGTTCCTCTGGATGCGTTCATGGCAACTGCATACGACCAGAAACTTGTGTCTGCAACTCAGGGTGGCAATCAGTAGGCACTACTAATAAAACATGTCAACCTGTTTGCTCAAAACCCTGTAGTAACGGCATCTGCGTAGCCCCACAGACTTGTGAATGCACAAGAGGGTATGTGAAATCTGATCAGTTTAACTGTAAACCATTTTGCTCTAGTGGATGCTCGAATGGTACCTGTATTGCACCCGAAACTTGTAAATGCGATGCAGGCTGGCAATTGGTTCAACCAAAAGGTAGTACCAAGAAAACATGTCAACCTGTTTGTTCGAAACCCTGCGTTAACGGCATATGCACAGCCCCAGAAACGTGTGTATGTACAAAAGGATACACTAAAGTCGATAAATACAACTGTAAGCCCTTCTGTTCCTCCGGCTGCGTTCATGGCAACTGCATACGACCAGAAACTTGTGTCTGCAACTCAGGGTGGCAATCAGTAGGCACTACTAATAAAACATGTCAACCTGTTTGCTCCAAACCCTGTAGTAACGGCATCTGCGTAGCCCCACAGACTTGTGAATGCACAAGAGGGTATGTGAAATCTGATCAGTTTAACTGTAAACCATTTTGCTCTAGTGGATGCTCGAATGGTACCTGTATTGCACCCGAAACTTGTAAATGCGATGCAGGCTGGCAATTGGTTCAACCAAAAGGTAGTACCAAGAAAACATGTCAACCTGTTTGTTCGAAACCCTGCGTTAACGGCATATGCACAGCCCCAGAAACGTGTGTATGTACAAAAGGATACACTAAAGTCGATAAATACAACTGTAAGCCCTTCTGTTCCTCCGGCTGCGTTCATGGCAACTGCATACGACCAGAAACTTGTGTCTGCAACTCAGGGTGGCAATTAGTAGGCACTACTAATAAAACATGTCAACCTGTTTGTTCGAAACCCTGCGTTAACGGCATATGCACAGCCCCAGAAACGTGTTTATGTACAAAAGGATACACTAAAGTCGATAAATACAACTGTAAGCCCTTCTGTTCCTCCGGCTGCGTTCATGGCAACTGCATACGACCAGAAACTTGTGTCTGCAACTCAGGGTGGCAATCAGTAGGCACTACTAATAAAACATGTCAACCTGTTTGCTCCAAACCCTGTAGTAACGGCATCTGCGTAGCCCCACAGACTTGTGAATGCACAAGAGGGTATGTGAAATCTGATCAGTTTAACTGTAAACCATTTTGCTCTAGTGGATGCTCGAATGGTACCTGTATTGCACCTGAAACTTGTAAATGCGATGCAGGCTGGCAATTGGTACAACCAAAAGGTAGCACCAAGAAAACATGCCAAGCGATTTGTTCAAAACCTTGCATAAACGGAACATGTGCAGCGCCAGAAACTTGTCACTGTGCAAAAGGATATATAAAATCGGATCAGTATACTTGCAAACCATTCTGCTCCAGTGGGTGCACACACGGTACCTGTATCGGTCCTGAGATTTGTAAATGTAATAACGGGTGGGGAATGATTAAATCAGAAGGGTCCAACAAAACCTGCGAACCTATATGTTCAAAGCCTTGCGTAAATGGAATGTGTGTAGCACCTGAGACATGTAAATGTATACATGGATATTCCAAATCTGGAAATTATAGCTGCGAGCCGGTTTGCTCCAACGGATGTCTATATGGAATTTGTGTAGCGCCTGAAACTTGTAATTGTCGTCCAGGGTGGCATATATCGAATGACAATAAAACTTGTCTCCCTGTTTGTTCCAAGCCTTGTGTAAACGGAACATGTATTGCGCCAAATACTTGCAAATGTCTGCTGGGTTATAGAGTTTCCGGTAAATTCACGTGTATGCCCCACTGTAGTGATGGATGTCCAAATGGAACATGTATAGGTCCTGAAAAGTGTGCCTGTAATACAGGATGGCAATTGACTAGACTGAATAACTCAAAAATCAGTTCATGTCAACCCAAATGTACTAAGCCTTGTATCAATGGTACATGTGTGGCACCAGAAACTTGTCACTGTGCAAAAGGATATATAAAATCAGATCCGTATAACTGCAAGCCATTCTGCTCTACTGGGTGCCCAAATGGTGTTTGTGTAGACCCAGAAACTTGCGTCTGTAACTCAGGGTGGCAACTGATTCAACTTAAGGGTATCAACACAAATATATGTCAACCTGTTTGCTCAAAACCCTGTATTAATGCTACATGTGTTGGCCCAGAAGCCTGTATATGTATAAGTGGATATATCAGGACTGATAAGTATAGCTGCAAGCCTTTCTGCTCCAGTGGGTGCCCACACGGCACCTGTATTGGCCCTGAGACTTGTAAATGTATTGACGGTTGGGGAGTGATTAAATCAGAAGGGTCCACCAACAAAACCTGCCAACCTATATGTTCAAAGCCTTGCGTAAATGGAATGTGTGTAGCACCTGAGACCTGTAAATGTATAAATGGATATTCCAAATCTGGAAATTATAGCTGCGAGCCGGTTTGCTCCAACGGATGTCTACATGGAATTTGTGTAGCGCCTGAAACTTGTAATTGTCGTCCAGGGTGGCACATATCGAATGACAATAAAACTTGTCTCCCAGTTTGTTCCAAGCCTTGTGTAAACGGAACATGTATTGCGCCAAATACTTGCAAATGTCTTCTGGGCTATAGAGTTTCCGGTAAATTCACGTGTAAGCCCCACTGTAGTGATGGATGTCCAAATGGAACATGTATAGGTCCTGAAAAGTGTGACTGTAATGCAGGATGGCAATTGACTAGATTAAATAACTCGAAGATTAGTTCATGTCAACCCAAATGTACCAAACCTTGTATAAATGGCACGTGTGTTGCCCCAGAGACTTGTAAATGTCTTGATGGTTACGTGAAGTCTGACGAGAATGTATGTATGCCTCATTGCCATGATGGATGTCCTAACGGCGTTTGTATCAGTCCAGACACGTGCGTCTGTAATCCTGGCTGGAAGATGACACAGAACAACATACTGAATGGAACCTGTCAGCCGGAGTGCAGTCCACCTTGTGTCAATGGTTCTTGTACAGCTCCCGGAAGGTGCGAATGTTATTTTGGCCATGAGAAATCGGAAAAGAAGAATGTCTGCCGACCACGCTGCTCCAATGGGTGCAAGAACGGTGTATGTGTCAGTCCTGATAATTGTATCTGCAACGCTGGATGGGAAACGAGGAATGGGTCGTGTCAGCCGGTGTGTACTACACCGTGCGTGCACGGCGCATGCGTTGGTCCTGACACCTGCGTGTGTCTCGCTGGGTATGAAGCAGGAGACAACAATACTTGTGTGCCACGCTGTGCTGCCGGCTGTTCTCACGGAGTATGTGTGAGTCCTGACAACTGTATGTGTGACCCGGGATGGCACAGAAATACCGTCAATGGCTCATGTGAGCTTGATAGTCCGAAAAACAGAAAGAAGATAGAAAATTGGTAAGCAGTATTAATTTTAACTTTGAAGCAGTATTTATAACGAAGAGTTTTGTTCACTATGCATATATTTTCAGGATTCAAACCAACTGGGTATATGTTGCGGCGGTTGGAGCCAGCAGTTTGTTGCTGCTAACTTTCATCTTCATAGTATTATGTTCAAAGAGAAAGCGATCTTCTCAGAATGGTACGTGCTTTTGCTATCAAGATTATTTGATTAATATACCTACAAACTGTGTCAAAGATGTAAGAGAGAAATTATTTCTTTGTGTTAAATAAAAGTGGTTTAAAAATATAATATAATACATATCTCTATTCAGAAAGAATGACAATTCGATGAATTAAATCAATGTTTTCTCCTTTAAACATTGTTTAATGGGAACGCCTTCAAATAATTAAAACAATATGTTGTAAAGCTTACGAACCAATAAGGCCAATGACTGCCACGTTTATTATGTATAGTGCTGTTTAAAAAAATATGACGTTTTCCAGGTTCAGTAGAGTATGGTGAAAAATAATAAGGTTAACTTTTTACTTTTATGTTCTTCACTTTCTTTACAGATGGAGCTACAGTAATTTCGGTTCAAGAATTCGTTCACAAAAACTTCAACCCCCACAAGACGAAACAAAGTTACGACGTAAATTGCAAGAATTCAGAACTTTAAATTAAAAGAAATATTTAAAAAGTTAACAAATTATAAATAATATTAAAATGTATTAACTAAAATCGCGGGTTACTCACGTGAATATACTGAGAAGAGCTCTAGGTACTGAGTAACCCGATTTTAGTTAATTTAGTATGTCTCACGATAGTTATTATAAAAATAATATTATGTATGTAATTAGGTAGATATTTTAGTTTTATACATTTGTATGTTACCTTAGCTAACTATTTATTTTAGTTAATTTCTAAAAACGATTATTTATTACTTATGTATTTCTGAGGGCTGTTGAAAAGTTTACACAATGTGGGATATTTTTATTTTTCTAGTCAATATAATGATCTTTGTTAGTAATAATAAGTACTAATTGTGTTAAATTTATTATTATTCCAACTTTACAAAATAAAAGCAATAAGATAATAAATATTGACAATTTTATTTATAAAATAATTACTAGTTGTTCAAAATTTATTTTTTCAAGATTGCACTGTTGGAGAAGACTGCACGGTTGGTGCGGTGGCTGGGCATTTGGGTGCCGCGCAACGTGTCGCGGGTCGATTCCCGCACGGAATAACTCTTTGTGGGATCCACAAATTGTTGTTTCGGGTCTTGGTGTCATATGTATGTGAACTTGTATGTTTGTAAACGCACCCACGACACAGGAGAAAATATTAGAGTGGGGCAACGTTTAAAAAAAATAGGTACATAATACGGCACTTTTAAAATAGTAACAGGAGTACCTCTTTCAACAGCCCCAATTGTGCTTTAAATCACGTTTTTTTCTTCTCTACATTATGGCTATCCAGACATTGTGAAACACAATGTCCTAACTCCAATGTTTTTTTCAATTTCACATTTTTTTTTTTTTGTTTTATTAATATGTCAATTCTATAAATAAACTAGCAGCCCGTCCCGGCTTCGCACGGGGTAGACAATTTTTTATTTTTGGAAATTTGGATTATTGTAGTGACATAACTACAATAGTTGGACATATGCTACCGCGGAGTTTTTTGTAGACATTATGATGTTCTTCAATATTGTTGTATATTATTTTGTTCTATCGCTAATAGTTTCGGCAGCGCATTCGACGAAAGACATTTTAAGACTCATTTTTCTACACCTTCGGTTACATTGTTCAAATTTTACCAAGGATCCCTAATTTTTTTCAAAATGAAATGTAGCCTAGGTCAAATTGGAAGAATTGGAATTCTATTGGTGAAAGAATTTTTAAATCGGCTCAGTAATTTTTCATCAAAAATAGGTACAAATCTTTCCTCTTCATAATATTAGTATAGATGATCAATGCAGAGGCTTGATGCAAATTAAACTGAACGACTTTCTAACTTGTTAGAACGAGACCACCTTATTCTTATGTTTTCTATCTTTGTCATTTAGGGTGTGACGTCATTAATGGTGTTTGTTAAGAAAAATCCTAACAAAAGAAAGAGTATGATTTGTTGATTTATGAATAATTTTATACTTCGCGTTGACTTGCGATGTGTGAAATATGCCCATATATTTTTATAACAATGTTAATGAAAATCAAAACAAGGGTTCTGAAGTGTGTTATCTATCACGTACTAAACTTAAACAATTTGTCATAAATGGTATTTATCTACGGGTACAGTCGACATGAAAGAAAATATGAAAATGTTCATAATTAGGAACAGACCTATGATTTAAAAAAATACAAATGATGAAGTATGAAAAATGTGACCACAATGAATTGTGAACAATGAATTGTGAATTGTGAAATTTCTAAGAGGTGTAATGTAATTTTAAATAATAAATAAATAAAATAATCAGTTGCAAGAAAGTAAAAAAAGGAAACAGCAAAAATTATAGGTACCCTTAATTTAGGCATCAAAGTACTTACTCGTCCGCATCACTGTCACCGGGGATCGTTCCCAGAAGACTGGCAGCATTGCCACTTTGAATGGCAATTCTTATTTTCTGTCCGTAGAAATAGCCAGCCCTCTGGTCACGTGTGGAGTCGATTAGCCTGCGGCCGATATTTATAAAGACAGAGTGTGCACTGGGACCCCATGACCCAAGTGTTTCGACCCCAAACGGCTCAAAACAGTAGTTACCCATTAGATTTGAATATTTACGCCGTTTGAGGGCTCTGCCGCGGAAGCGGCTGCACCAGCGTATGCAGCGGTACTTAGAAGATGTGATGGCGCAAGGGTGTCTACATACGTCGCGTTCCACACCAAAGGCCTACCCTTCTTCCAAGGCAAATTGATTCTAATTCATTTAAATAAATCATAACATAACATAACATCACGCCTTTTATCCCCGAAGGGGTAGGCAGAGGTGCACACAGAAGTAACACTTACCTTCACTATTTATGTTATGAGTCCCACGTAATAGGGTGTGAGCCTATTGCCATATACCGGGCACAATTCCAGACTGTGCTACTACTGAGTTTTTTTAAAAACTCAGTAATACTTTGCCCGACCCAAGAATCGAACCCGGGCCCTTGCCCGGCAGTCACACGTGCGACCACTCAGCCAATAAGGCAGTCTATATATAATATTAAATAATACTAAACTGAAATATAAATAAAAGTCTGATTTTTTTGTGACGTTGTAAAAACGTAAGTTTCTTTTCGCTATTACTTTTTTAGTTGATTGTACTTTTATAATCAATTGTTTTATTTATTACAAGTGAAGTAAAACCTCACTTTGCTTAGTTATCAAATTCACTCCATATTTTATTATTTGCGCAAGAGTGGCGTAGATACATCTTACACCCATTACCTATTTTTTTTATAAGCGCCGTTTATTCCAGCCTAATTCTTATTATAAACAATGATATTAAACATTGATGTTATTAAAATTCTTATTTGGTATATTATAGTGCTACAACTAACACAAGTTTCGAGTCAAATTTGTGTAGAAACTAAACTGTAAGTAATTTTTTTTCTAGACTTCATAGATAAAGGTTGTTACATTTCACTACTTTAAATCTACCTATTTCAAAAAATTGGAGCAATCACCAGCACATCAAGTAACCCTAATTAGTTTTTGTTTTATTGTAACTTAATATTGAACTTTCAGATTTTTCTGTTAAGGTCAAAAATCTTTTGATAAAGTTGTACGAATTGAAGTGCTTCGAGATAGAAAGTACTTACTTTTTTAATCCTACAGGAGTTACCGTGATGTTCCTGAAACCTATACATATACCTACATGGAGGCTTACGAGAAGTCAAACTGCCTGTTCTGGTGTACCGATACTAGAGTGGCTACTGCAGTCGGTACGAGAATTGTCCGTGTAAGTGCACGATACACTTTGGATACTATAGGTTTATAGATTTAAAGTAATATTCGACAAAATTAAATTATGTCGAATATTACTCATCATATTACTAAATATTACTCATTAAAAGAGGTATGTAAGAATCGTAGTAATTGGCGTTCCTTAGTCTCTGCCTACCCCCATGGGAGACAGGCGTGAATTTATGTATGTATGTATATCACTTTTTTATGCCGATGAAATTTTGAAATAATAATTATTATTATTCATGGATAAAAATAATAATTACAGAAACCAGTGCCCGAACAAGTTCACGTATGCTGCGAAGGATACACACAACATGACAACAATAACGGGACCAGGTATCCAATTACTTTATTAATCCGTGCAACTTTAACCAGGACCCCAAGCCAAGTAGTGAAAATAATATAATAATAATATTCTTTATTTTAGTATTAACTGCGAGCCTTATTGTTCACCTCCTTGTGTTAATGGCTACTGCAAGTCTCCAGGAGTGTGTGCCTGTAACGCTGGCTACTTGCCCGACACGTTTGCCAATCAGAACTGTTCTCCTTTGTGCATCAAACCATGTAACCATGGAACGTGTGTCGCACCCAACACGTGCAAATGCGACGAAGGCTACAACCTGGTCGACGAAGCATGTGAACCAATTTGCTCTAAACCTTGCTATAACGGCACCTGTGTTACTCCAGAAACCTGTCAGTGCCTACCAGGTTACAAAAAAACTGAAAATGATACATGCGAACCTTTTTGCTCCAACTACACTGAAACTGGCGACTGTATCTATTCAGTTATTTGTGAACCTGGATGGAATAAAGTAATTAGGGATTCAATTGGAATATGTGAACCAATATGCACAACCCCGTGTAACAATGGGACTTGCGTAGCACCCGAAACATGTAAATGTCTCGAAGGGTACGAGAAAACTGGTGATAATAACTGTCAGCCGCATTGTTCTTGGTGTGAACATGGCACCTGCATTGGTCCTCAAATTTGCCTTTGTGATCCTGGATGGTATAAAAACGAGTCGAATGGCAATTGCCTTCCGCATTGCGACAATAAATGCGGTAACGGCACATGTATAGCTCCAAATACTTGCGAATGTTTACCAGGTTATGAAGTTACTCGAAGAGACATTAAACTTGGTGAAGATAGTGCGTTGTGTAATCCCGTATGTAATCATTGTGACGGTATGTGTGTTGCTCCTGGGACATGTTTTTGTGAACCGCCTGAACATATGTTACTTGTTGCCATTAATGGAGAGCCATGTGACTGTGTAGACAATTGTTCTGATTCAGCACATAAATGTGAGAGAACAGTTTGTCTGCTAACTACTACAGTTTCAAGTGTAACTAAAATGAATGCAGTCAAAACTTCTGCTCCTAAAGATACGGATATTTATACATTAAGACCAACTGATATTGAGATAGTTGAGGGGACTACAGATAAGACTACGGATTGGGATCAAAATCAATTAATGATTAGTGAAGCACCATGGTACGTATAAGTTATATTGTTTAGTATAACAAATAATTGACTTTGTAAATAATATAACAATATCTTTCAAAGGTACAACTCAAGTTGGTTCTACGTGGTTGGATCTCTTACTGTAATGGCATCAATTGTAACGATAGCCGCCATTTTGAAAAGGAGATATTTAAGAACAATCAGGAGACTATTTAATAGACAGAGTAAGAGAACTAAGACGCTAATTTTATTATAGTTGAAGTAATAACAAAGTGCACAATCGTGGTTCAAGCTAGTTCATAAAATTTGTAATGTGGGAATTAAGCTTAATTCTTGTACTAATCAATGAAAACTTCACTTGTAACTTATATTTTGTATCTACAGCAGATGTAGATACATAATAAGTACATGTTACAGGATATGTATATTTTGATTTTCAAATACTGTTCTCAGAATAACTAGGTACCTATAATAAAACAATAATAATTATGTTTTTCTAGTTTCAGATTCCGATACAACTACAGCTGTACATTATTCACAAAACATTGGCTGATACAATTAATTAACCTGTTGCTACTTTATTTTGATATTATAGAGATAAGATGAATGTAGTGATTTCTTATAGAAAGTTGCCTACTAGTGTGGACTCATTGATTAGAATCAATGACTTTAATTAACTTTTCGAGGATTTTTTTTTCTAAAATTGTTGCATATTAATTGTAACTAATACACACTTTTTAATTTAATGCTACTCCATTGAAATTAAATAGAAGTATGAATTATGACTAGTTTAAATGACCTTTCCATATGTAAATATGCTTTGATACAATTTTAACGTAAGCTTCGTACAAAATCGACCGCTAAGTAAATGGTAAATGGAATATTAATGACAAATTATTTTGTTTCTAATGAGGTTATTTTTAAATAAAACCATTTTGTTTAATCAGCTACTAACTGTATTCATGCTTATTACAAAAAAACAACAATCTATATTCGATACCGCTATCATCAGTAAAACTTACAAAATAAACTTAAAGAAATTATGCTGTCTAGTATAAGTTCTGGGCCATGATCATCTTGTCTTCATTCACGGTCGATACGTCACTGAAATATTATAATAAAGCATTAGTATCCTTCATTTTGACAACTATTATTATAGGACATAAATGGGTAGGCCACATCGTTCGATCAACTGACGGTCGATACCAGAAAATTGCAGTGTAGGCAACTTCCCGCTAGGTGGATTGACGACATCGTCATAGTCGCGGGGAGCTAATAGATGGCAGTGGCGAGTTGTCGTTCGGCATTCCGTGTAGGACTGAGTAAGATCAGAGCCCTGAATATCTTCCAGATTACGATGAATAAGCGACCAATATTTTATTTACAATTATGTAGTTCTTGCTGTAGTAACTTATTGTGTACTCATTTTAAAATATTGGTCTTTGCATCAACATAAAGCCTATTTAAACTATATTTTCATGTAAAAAGAAATTTCTGACGTAACTACTTACCGTACACTCTTCTTCTGTATCGCATGTATGTCATGGTAATAGCTATGGCGAGCAGGATGCCACAAGCAAACCCACAAATTCCGAGCCCCAAAATCGTTGCCATACTATATTTTTCAGGTTCTTTGGCTAATGGTCCTAGTCCAGATCTACAAACACATTGTAATAAAGCCAATTATAGTAAAAATATAAAAAATATGTCTTATTTTGTTAATAGAAATCAGAATAGAAAAACAACTGAAATTGTTTTATGTGGCCTGCGATTCAAGTCCAGACACGCAGGTAGCAAGAGCGACTGCCGCGCATAGGGATCTCGGGTTCGATTCCCAGGTCGGGGAAAGTATTACTGGGTTTTTTCAAAAAATCTCAGTAGTTGCACGGAGTCTGGAATAGTGTCTGGTATATGGCAATAAGTTAAACCCCAACATGGGACTCAAAACATAAATAGTGAAAAGTGGGCGTTACATTGTACAGTGGCGTTAAGTGCCGTAAAGGCATGTTGTTATGTAAACGAAAATTTTTCTTCACAAGTGATCAGAAAAAGTGTAAATTAAAATATATAATATAAAGTCCTATATTATAAATGTCTAGATAGAACGTCACCCACCATACAATAGCAACAAATATGGCGTTGCAAAATAAAAAATACAATTTTATGGAGCATGAGGATAAGAAGTGTACCATTAAAATACCTAAGCTGAGAATTAAGGTATAACATAACATAACATAACATCACGCCTTTTGTCAGGAAGGGGTAGGTAGGAGTCCATCATGGTACTTAATGTCACTGTATGTACAATGTAACACCCACTATTCACTATCTATGTTTTGAGTCCCTATTGCCATATACCGGGCTATATAATATACTATTGCAGACTCCGTGCTACTACTGAGATTTTTTTTAAATCTAGTATTACTTTGTGCGATCCGGGAATAGAACCCGAGACCCCTTGCAGTTGCACTTGCGACCGCCCGGCCAAGAGTGCAGTCGAGGCAATTAATGTATAATGTATAAATAAACAATAATTAATAATATTCATCTGCTCTTACGTTTCTGTTCCGTTTGATAATGGTTCTGGAGCAGCTGTCGTCGTGGGTTGTGACACACTATGATTGTTTGCACCTGGAGCAACTGTCGTCGTGGGTTGTAATACACTATGATTATTTGCACCTGGAGCAGCTGTCGTCGTGGGTTGTGACACACTATGATTGTTTGCACCTGGAGCAACTGTCGTCGTGGGTTGTGACGCACTATGATTATTTGCACCTGGAGCAGCTGTCGTCGTGGGTTGTGACGCACTATGATTATTTGCACCTGGAGCAGCTGTCGTCGTAGGTTGTGACGCACTATGATTATTTGCACCTGGAGCAGCTGTCGTCGTAGGTTGTGACGCACTATGATTATTTGCACCTGGAGCAGCTGTCGTCGTAGGTTGTGACGCACTATGATTATTTGCACCTGGAGCAGCTGTCGTCGTAGGTTGTGACGCACTATGATTATTTGCACCTGGAGCAGCTGTCGTCGTAGGTTGTGACGCACTATGATTATTTGCACCTGGAGCAGCTGTCGTCGTAGGTTGTGACGCACTATGATTATTTGCACCTGGAGCAGCTGTCGTCGTAGGTTGTGACGCACTATGATTATTTGCACCTGGAGCAGCTGTCGTCGTAGGTTGTGACGCACTATGATTATTTGCACCTGGAGCAGCTGTCGTCGTAGGTTGTGACGCACTATGATTATTTGCACCTGGAGCAGCTGTCGTCGTAGGTTGTGACGCACTATGATTATTTGCACCTGGAGCAGCTGTCGTCGTAGGTTGTGACGCACTATGATTATTTGCACCTGGAGCAACTGTCGTCGTGGGTTGTGACTCACTATGATTTTTTGCACCTGGAGCAGCTGTCGTCGTGGGTTGTGACGCACTATGATTGTTTGCACTTGGAGCAACTGTCGTCGTGGGTTGTGACACACTAAAGTTATTTGCACCTGGAGCAGCTGTTGCTTCGATTTGTGGTACATTCAGGTTATTTGCACCTAGAGAAATTAATTGTCATTATAATATTATATATAAAAACCCTTTAAATATTTGTAATATACCTTAAGTTAAGTTATAAGATAATGTGTATTATTTACATATATTTATTTAAAATTCTCTATAAATTACATTTTTAAATAGTACTTACAAAATAAAAATAAAGTATTTAAAAATATACAAAATAGAAGCCGACCAGTAGCGGAAGCATAGTCCAAGCTACCGGGTAGTTAGGGCTCCAGAGACAGAAACCTCCTCACGATACGTGCCGTTTCTAGGAGAACTGCCTTCTCTATCAGGACCTTGATTTATCCACCAAACGCCAGCCTCCTGAGATGGATGTTGAGGCTTTTAAGGATTAACCCATTAGCCGACACGACTATAGGCACAATGATAGCCAAATCCACACTTCACATGTCGACAACCTCGTGAGCTAAGTCTTGATATTTTATTTGTTTATCTTTCTCAACTTTCACGAGGTTTACGTCATGGGGAATGGTGATATCGATTGTCATCGTGCGGCGTACTTGTCGGTCTATCAGCCCTATGTCAGGCTTATGTTTATTATTTATTAAATTATTTTTATTATTTTTATGAAGTAAGTAATTTAGCGATAACAATAATACACAAGTAGATCATCACGAAATCAGAAACTGAAGTGGTTCTTCCCTAATATTTATCTACAGTCGTTTCCTATCTCATCAATTAATGTACATTCGCACTATGAATATCTCCTACATAGTAAGGAATATAATGTATACAAAATAAATACTCACCTCCAGAATGTTCTACCATTCTCTCTCTGATTCCTGAACTATCCATGTCACTAGAAAAGTCTTCATTTCCTTCTGAAGCTTTATTTTTTTCTAAATTTAATAAGGCAATCATTTCACTGTAAAAAAATATAATTATATTAAAATGGTTTTTAAATATGAAGTACATACTTCGAAAAGTGTTTAAATTTCTTGTTATACTCACTTTAAGTATTCGCAAAGCGCATCAATGTCACCCATCCTGAAAAAACATAATTTTATGAAAAATCAACTAAATCACACTTGCAAATTAAGCTAGAAGAAAGACATTTTAGGTGTTGGTATCACACGCTCCGTTTTACGTATTTCTTTATTTCCTCTTTACATATAATTACAGTGAATGGTGGACTTATTACCTTAAGACATTCTCTAACAGTCAACCATAGGGAAGTGCAGAGAAATGAAGCCGTTGATGCGAAGCCAGAACACAATTTCAAAAAGCACAAAGACAATAAATTAATTAAGTTAATTAATAATTCGTTAAATACATGGAAATACATATAGAATAAAATATTAATACAATATATTACAAATTATATAGACATAGGTACATACTACATAACGCATTTTTTAAGGGGGGAAATCATCGAATGACTTCTCCCGCCTGGGTGAGGCGGGAGGGAGTGTCAGACTCTTACTTATAAAAACCACCCCGTTCCTACTCCTGCCCTTCGAGCCGGACCCCCGCAACCCGCTAAATAATGTATACTGAATACTTAAACGAATACTTATATCTTACCTACTACATAAATATTATATAGGTACAATACATTATAGAAAAATTTGTCAAGAAAGTTTCCTCAATTGTTTTAAATCTGGCAATGCTTCAATATTTTCAGGTGAGTTATCACCTTAATATTTATTTTTTGTAGTAATAATGAACCTGAAGAGTTAGTTGGTTTAAACGCACTACTCTCCGAAACTATTGGTTCGGATTGAGTTGTGTTTAAATGGTTTACTTATCGAAGGAACGATGGCTATGGGATATGAAACATCACGCTACCACCAATAGCCACCAACCATCACGGAACCGGGTAGCAAGCGACTAACTAGTAATTATGTAGGTACAGTATATATGAAATTTTACATTTAGAAACTCATCCACGACCCAAGATAAAATCCTGGTGTGGAGCAGCGGCTCGACCGGAGTGATACCACGGCCTCACAGAATACCGACGTAAAACAACGCAAGCGTTGGGTTTCGTCGTTTGAGTGAGGTTACCGGAGGCCCAATTATCCCTCCACCCCATTTCACATTTCCCAATCCCTGGATCCTCAATTTCTTAACCCCTAAAGGCCGGTAACGCACTTGTAACGCCTCTGGTGTTCCAGGTGTCCATGGGCGACGCCGATAGCTTACTATCAGGTGATCCACCTGCACGTTTACCAGTTTATACCATAAAATAAAAGTTTACTAAAAAAAATACACTAATAAGTTGAACTGAAATGTACGTACATCGATGATCCCAAAGTTGTGAATGGTGAAGAGGCGGTGCAACTCACCTGTAAAAAAATAAAATATCACTGAATTATGTCAAAGTCGAATTTAAAGCATTTCGTTCAATTAATCCTTAATTAGGCACTTTTTGAAAATTGAAACGTCAAAAACTGAATTGTCCGTCCGTCTGTCAGTGAAGTTAGGCGCTACACAATTTTCAAATAGACTTGATTTGCACAAATTAACTTAAGTACCTATGTATATTGTTTTTTAAATTTTGCAAACATCTTATTAATATTATAAATGTAAAAATTTGTAAGTTTGTGTGTTTGTGTATATGTTTGTTTCTCAATCACGACGAAACGGCTGAAGGGATAGAAATGAAATTTTGAACAGGGGTAGTTTATGGTCTGGAATACCACATAAGCTAATTTAGGGATCGCGGGGAAGCCGCTGGCAGAAGCTAGTCAGTGCCTAAATAATTACTCAAACTAACGATGTATTACATATACTGACTTACACTTTTTTATAATAAAACATTGCCCCACACTAGGATTGTCTCCTGTGTCGAGGGTGCGCTTACACACATACAAGTTCTCATACACATCACACCCAGACCCGGAACAACAATCTGTGGATCACACAAATAGTTGTTCCGTGTGAGAATCGAACCCGCGACACGTACCGCGCAAGCCAGTTACCCAACTACAGCGCTAACCGTGCGTTCAAACAAACACTAATAATAATAGGTAAAGTACTTACATTGTCAATATCTTTTAAAATGGGCTTGCTGAAATAAAACACAATTCTTTAAATGTGTGCATAATAGTTATTGTACGGTTACAAATTTTGCGGACAACTACTTTAGATTCAACTTATACAATAGACTCATTTTTACATTGGACTGATCGTATAGAGGTATAACTGGCAAAATCTGGATATTACATTGTATTGTCAGAGATAAGATGACCACAACAACAAGCTACTAGAAGATGTAGTCGCAGCACAGAATGCAAACCAATTAAAAAAAGACTTTACAGTCATACGAAATCGAAGCAAATAATAATAGAAACATACGATACTTGCAAATATCACTTGCTTGAGTAAACGAGTCTTACCCCCGTATTTATAGACAAGTAAAAGTTATTAGTTAAGCAAAAGTAACTGCTTAAGTAACAAATTTTAATTTTATAGTTAAGAAATTGCTTGAGAATATAACTGTGAAACGTTTAAATTCTTAGCCGAGCACTAGTCACCGATTTCTTTACTTAAAGCAATAGAATAGAGAATTTTTCTCCCGCGTAGTATCATATTATTCGTCATTTCTTTGTTTAGTTGGTGAGCTATTTTAGAATGGAAAGCATTGAAGCTACTTTTGCTATTGTAGACGATATAGATAATGATATATTAGAGGGGATTGAAGTTATCGAGTAAAGAAATCCCAAAGTATGGTATCGTGATCTAAAATCATTTCATGAATGATTTATCTGAAGATTTTTTATAAAGAGATAAAGTTTCTCAAAATGTGTTGTGAAGAATGTGATTATACCGCGAATTGCATATACTTTACAATCAGAAACTCAAAGAGGACCAGCTATAGGTCCACTTTGCCAGTTACTAACTGCCCATGCTTGCATGCATCATGCTTCTTTTTTACAGCACTCGTAAATCGCAGCATTAGTTGATTTGGCTGTTAAAATTGTGTCATAATTTTAGGTGGTACTTAAAAATAACTCCTTTTCTAAAATCGAGAAAGGTTTCTTTCTGTCTATATCAGACATTTTGAAATTAAACAGTACTTAGGTATTTTTACTAGCACAGAAAATTTCACGGACTTACCGACGACACGAACTAGGCAACTAACAACAACACAAGATCTAAATTCAAAATTTTGAATAAAGTTGTTAAAATGGTAGAGTCTTTGCATACGTATTATGTAGTTAAAATAAAAATCCTCACGTCTACCAAGTGATGACAGTGTAAACATAACCACCTCAATTTGGTAGTATTATTGTCCGTCAAACGATAAACAAGCGTTTTGTTTCGTTAAATATTACTATTTTAATTATTTTTTAATGTGTTTATAGTGCTATAATTATTGTTTTAGTAACTAATTTTATAATACATTCTCTGTAAATGACTAGTATATGTTAATTAACAATGATAAACGCTAGTTCATATTTCTTTTACGAAATCTAACGCAGCAATATATGTTGCCATTTATAGCCAAGTAATAAGCACTGACCGTTGCTTAAGCAAATACTTAGACAAGTAAAGTACATTATTTAACTATAGAATAAGATTTTATACTTCAGAATTCTAAACTCAATAAACGACTTATATAAGTAATTACTTAGCAACGTGTAATTACTTGTTTATAAATACGGGGGTGAGTGCGAGAGACCCATGCTTCGGTACGAATGGGCTGGCTCGACCGGACTGACACCACGGCCTCACAGAAGACTGACATAAAACAACGCTTACGTTGTGTTTCGTCGCGTGAGTGTGGTTACCGGAGGCCTAATTATCCCCCTCCCCCTCCTTTCCCAACCCCTGAATCCCCAACAATCCTCAAATTCCTAATCCCAAAAGGCCCGTAACGCACGTGTTCGCCGTGTACCTCTTGCGTTCCAGGTGGGCGACGCCGATTGCTTACCATCAGGTAATCCGTCTGCTCGTTTACCGGCTTATCCCATAAAAGAAAAACAACAGGATTAGTGTGATAATGAAAATATGCGTAACTTACGTAGAGCAATCGCAAATGTGTTCTGCTAGTTGCGCACTGAAAAATGTGAAAACGTATCATAATTATGTAACGTAGGTACTTCTTACTAAAATGTCTGTTTTATGAGTGTGTTAATACCCCCCCCCTCCACCTAAATCGTCGCAGGCCACACTGGCGCTACCGGATTGCGCTGGTGCGACAAGCGGCCCCGGTTCAAATCGTATGATAATTTTTCCGCTCATCGCAGACGCAAGACGCGTCGCACCAGCGTGTGCCTGCGATGTAGAGGTGATTCGTTTCTCACCACTTATTCGTTTACACTTGGCAAACGAATAAGGCTCCAAAATTAGTGGACGGATTTGAAATAATGCTTGATTATAAGAAAACCACATTTGGAAAATTAAGATAAGAAGATAAGATAGTATAAAGTAGAACACTGTTTCATGGCAACTTAAAGTATCTGTTTTAGAAATATTGAAGGAAAATGATAACTGAGTACTTACATTTCTTCTAACACCGATACGTCAATAAGTATGGTTTTGTTCTTTTTGTAAAACGTCTGAAAAAACAACATAATAGATATCAAATATAATTATGAATACGTTAAAAATACAGATAAAGTTAAAATAAACCGAAATTCATGGGAGGCGAGTGTCCATGGGCGGCAGCGATTGGTTACCATCACGTGAACCTTGATCCAAGTCCGCTCATTTGCCGCCCTTTGCCATAAAAGCCGTTTCTTTATCGATTTCAGTTTTTGACAAAAAAGCAATAAAACGAATAACAAAGTTCATATCATTCCCAGTTTTAATACTGTATTATATATTATTCTCATACTTACAGGAGAAGATTCGTACTTGAATGCTTCTGAATTTACTGGTTTCTCTAACAATGAACTGACTTCAGTTTGAGATGTATCGGTTCTGTTTACATGAGACTTATCTTTAATCGAATCCTTCGGCTTCAAATTTGATGATGAAGGAAGTTCTATTCTAGGTTCTCTAGTTCCTGTACTATTTTTGCCATCATTGTTAATTCCTTGGGAATTTGATATATTTTTTCCATTTGTTGTGTTATTTCCATCAGTTTTGTTTACGTTCGAAGGAACTAAAGAAGGCGCATGTTTATTGTCCGTATTATTTATATTGGCTGGTTCATTCGTTTTGTTCTCATTTAAATTTGAAGGAGGTTCTATTCTAGGTTCTCTGGTTCCTGTACTATTTTTGTCATCATTTTTAATTCCTTGGGAATTTGATGTATTGTTTCCATTTGTTGTGTTATCAGTTTTGTTTACGTTCGAAGGAACTAAAGAAGACGCATGTTTATTGTCCGTATTATTTATATTGGCTGGTTCAATCATTTTGTTCTTATTTAAATTTGAAGGAGGTTCTATTCTAGGTTCTCTGGTTCCTGTACTATTTTTGTCATCATTTTTAATTCCTTGGGAATTTGATGTATTTTTTCCATTTGTTGTGTTATCAGTTTTGTTTACGTTCGAAGGGACTAAAGAAGACGCATGTTTATTGTCCGTATTATTTATATTGGCTGGTTCAATCGTTTTGTTCTCATTTAAATTTGAAGTAGGTTCTATTCTTGGTTCTTTAGTTCCTGTACTATTTTTGCCATCATTGTTAATTCCTTGGGAATTTGATGTATTTTTTCCATTTGTTGTGTTATTTCCATCAGTTTTGTTTACGTTCGAAGGGACTAAAGAAGGCGCATGTTTATTGTCCGTATTATTTATATTGGCTGGTTCAATCGTCTTGTTCTCATTTAAATTTGAAGGAGGTTCTATTCTAGGTTCTCTAGTTCCTGTACTATTTTTGCCATCATTTTTAATTTCTTGGGAATTCGATGTATTTTTTCCATTTCTAGTGTTATTTTCATCATTTTTTTCTATATTTTTATTGCCATTTTGTTTAAACAATAATGTGTCAAAAAACATGCGTTTTATGTTTCTGTGAACATAAAAGAGTTAAAAATTAAAAGTATATTGCATATTCAGTAGGTTCATGAAATAATCAATACATAGTATAAAACAAAGTCGCTTTCGCTGTATGTCCGTATGTATGCTTAGATCTTTAAAACTACGCAACGGATTTTGATGCGGTTTTTTTTAATAGATGGAGTAATGCTTAAGGAAGGTTTGTATGTATAATACATGCATATTGCACCCGTGCGAAGCCGGGGCGGGTCGCTAGTTCAAATATAAAACGTAACTTACTTGAAAGTCATCGACTGACATTTTGCTTTAATTGATTGTTGGAGGCTGAAAAAAATGTATGTCTGGTTAAAAACATTGTTATACATTTACATAATTGTAACAATGGTTTTGTGTATCTATTTAATTCTTAGTATTTAAATTAAATTAGGTATTTGTTTAGGTTAGGTTATATTGCATCATCGAGGTGGTCCGGCCAGTACTCAACGACTGGCTCGGGAGAAAGCATGGCACCCTGACGTTCCGAGTGACGCAGGTGATTTCGGGGCATGGGTGTTTCGGAAAGTTCCTGTGTCGCATAGGCAGGGAGCCAAACGCTCGGTGCCATAACTGCGTCCATTGTGAAGAGGATACAGCGCAGCACACCCTTATGGAGTGCGTCGCTTGGGACGAGCCGCGTCGTGCCCTCATATTAGAGATCGGTGACGATCTGTCACTGTCGACTATTGTCCAGAAAATGGTAGGCAGTGCAGAGTCATGGGATGCAGTGGTGTCCTTCTGCGAAGATGTAATGTCGCGAAAGGAAGCTGCGGAGAGGGAAAGGGAAATTACAATTTCTCTACCTTCCCGTAGTAGGCGCACCGAGCGTCGAAGGAGAGCAGAAATCGCTCTCTTTTGACCGGGGGGGTTAAATGGGTCCGGGGATAGTGGACTTGGGGAAGTCCCCATCACCCCGTTTTAAAGGACCCAAGAAGCCTCTAAGACGTTGCACGGAGAAGAGCAACACCTCACTCCTCTGTGCACCTTGAGGTGGGGCCTGGCAAGGCAGGCCGCCACGAGTTCGGGGGCTGCGGATGAATGTGACTCCCGCACCCTCGTACCCACGTGTGAGACGGGACACCGGGGTGGGTTTTAGTCAGTAAGAGTCTGACAGTCCCTTTCGTCCTCCCCAGGCAAGGGGGCTACATAAGGATTTCCCACCTTGGGGTTAAAAAAAAAGGTTATATGGCATGTAAATTCTCTGTGATGTAGCCTTATTCAATAGCCAAAATCAATAGAAAAGATATTTTTATATAACAAGAATAGTAATATAATAATAATCGAATTAACAGATAATAACTGAAGACTTACTCAGGGGATAAATTGTTGATAGTCTCATCAGGTTTACAGGAGAAAGATTTCTGAAAAATAAAGTGGTACTATTAAATTGACGCAATAACAACGAAAACATACACCGAAGTATAATGTAGGACCGCGTGGAGGACACGGTGGATCTTACGGTGGCAGTGCACACTGCCTGCGTGGGCTGAGCACCGCCGTGCGAACGGAGCGAGGAGGACTGAAATGCCGTCTCCTCCGACTTTATAATTATTATGGGACAAACCCGACACAAACTCCCAAAACAGCTGCAACTCCTGTGAGTCAGGATTTACAGTAGACACGGTTATATTTGTCTGTACGTTACATGTACCCAAAAAATTGAAGAAATATCATTTCAAAAAAAACAATACTAAACAATAAAAATATTATAGCTTGTCTGTTTCATTTTAATTATCAATATCTAATATTTTTGTGACCCCAGTGTGATTTTCTGTTATATCGTGGATGCATTGTTATATCGTTATATTCAAATGCACAATACACCCAGCCCGTAACAAAATTTTGTGGATCGTACAAAGAGTGGTTCCATGCAGGAACCGAACCCGCAATATGTAGTGTAGCTAGCAACCATGCCACAGAATAGACTAGCTTATTTTAAGTTTTATACCTTTTACCTTTTTTTATACCCTTTGCCACTATAATATGCAAAACCCTCTTTTCACTATTTATGTTATGCTATGTAATAAGAGATGAGCCTATTGCCATATACCAGGTTCATTTCCAGACTCCGTGCTAGTACTGAGATTTACGAAAAAGCCAGTAAAACATTGCCTGACCCGGAAATCGAAATCAAGACCCCTTGCCCGGCTGTCGCACTTACGACCACTACCGAGGCAATTCTTAAAAATGTACTGTATTATAGAGGTAATAGTTTATAAGATTCTGACACTTACATGTTTACGGTTGAGATAGGGACGTAATTTCCTGGAAAACAATAGGAAAAAATATTATTAAGAGATTTTGGTAACAAAATTAATGTGATTATTTTTATAATATTTGACATCGTATATTATCAAAACTCGCCGCTAGACCTCAGAAACTAATTACTGTAACATAAAAGAAAAATAGGAAGCGTGTCAGATATAACTACAGGGTGTTTGGTGCAGCGTGTGCCAAATTGTAATGGTCGACTGAAGGGGTCATCTGCTAACCCCCTTTAGGTCAGAAAACCCGCTAGCCACGATCACCTCGTCTAGTCCAAGGGTCTTCCTTTGTTTAAGGAACTTTATTCTCTGTTCCCTGAAAATTCAACTCGATTTAAGGTATTCAAGAAAGAGATGGAAACTACATTTTACTGCGAAAGAGTAAGAAAACATATTTTACTTCTTTTTCAATTAACAGTAACACAAAAAGGAGTGAGAACCATGTAGTAGGGGAGCCCATGATGCTAAATTGGGATTTACTTGAGCGTCCTTGGGACCTACTGGATTTTGAAGATATGCTGATAGAAAGAAGAAATGGTTTAGTGACAATTTCTTCCACCAGTGGGGGAAGGGGGAATCTACAGATCTTTGAAATTGTTAAGCGTAACTTTTGTTCTAGTGGTCGAGCGTGTCAGATATTGATAATGTACATGCTCCATGTGTATTTAATAATAAAAAACTCTTAATCTGCCAGTTTGCATGGTGGGGTTGAATGTTCTGGAGAGTACAAACGAGAACCCTTCAAAATCCCCCCACTCTTGCAAATCAAGTTGGAATGGGCAGATTTTTTAAACGCACTTCCTTTAGCACGGTATTGACCTACCTTCTCTTAATCTGACGAAACTGACTTTATTTAGTCAGACTTTTTTTTTAATTTTCAGTCCCCCCCTTCTAATCAGATCGGATATATGTTGGGTATATTCAACATGACACTAGGTTTTCCCCATATGTTAATCTGACGCGCTCGAGTAACTACCGAAATCCCTTCATGGGCTCCCCTACTAATGGTGTTCCCCCATTTTTATGTGAAACCATTGAAACATAAACTATAATTATTGTGTTAATATTTTTATTTTGTTTATTTTTATTTTATTGATTTTTTGTTTTTACACAATAGATATATTTTCATTAGAATTTGCTATGTAGTCTTATGTAACTTGATTCACAATTTTATCGAATTCACAATTATGTTATATGGCACATAATTAGCAAGAGGATAGACTGGTGACTTAATGAGGAAGCTGGAAGATCTCGGTCGGTTTTGTTTTATTTTTGTAGCCATATAAACAGCTGTAACGTGCACAGCTTTAATTTAAGTTTTAGGTACTTTTGCGAGTCAATTAAACGAAACTAGTGATTAATATTACTTTTGTATTGGAAGTACCTACTCTTGAATACACATCAGAATAAAATTAAAATTCAAAGCCTACGCCTTATACTTTTATTTAAGTTTGCTTTAGAATGTAATATTTGGGTGTTTTTTTTAGTAAAACAATAATACGTTGATACAAAGAAATCTATGAGCGGGTGTTTAGGGCCTGCAGGGCTAGCAGATGTCTACCTTCCTCTACTTTCGATCATTTCAATTTGGTAGGTACACAATGCACCAAACGCCCTGTGTATCATAAATATTTGCAGTTATTATTACATAACATAACATCACGCCTTTTATCCCCGAAGGGGTCAGCACATCATCTACGGCACTTAATGCCATTGTACCTCTACAATGTAATACCCACTTTTCACTATTTATGTTATGTATCCCATGCAATGGGGTGTGAGCTTATTGCCATATATCGGACACAATTCCAGACTCCGTGGTACTACTGAGAATAAAAAAAAACCAGTAGTACCTTGCCGACCCAGAAATCGAACCCGAGACCCCTTGCCCGGCAGTCGTACTTCCAACTACTCGGCCAACGAAGCAGTTAATTATAAAATAAATATATGAAATAGCTACTTACGTAGAACAAATACATTCATCTATTTTAATTGAAAACTCTGACACTCTGTAAACAAAAAACAACAACATTATAAAAATATCAGACAATGGGGGACTGAATAAAGTGAGAGTGCAACACATTACACTAACCCTACTCCTCCCACGGGGGCCGTAACGCCGATTCATGGCAGCTGCACTTTCTAATAAACCTAAACTGTGACTTTCGACTCGCTTGCCAGACTAAGTAATTATCGTAAACCCTCATATCTACTGATATGTCTGTTAATCGAAGTCCATCTAGTGGGCTATTGCGGGCTGATGCAGATAATGTAGAAATTGTTCTGTGACCAGGGGGCTTACTCTCGAATCCAATTCCGATCAACACTAACGGCTATTGCATCTGTATTACGTGAATGTACGACTAGCTACCTAGACTACCAACTACGATATGGGTTGTATAGTTTTGACATTGAATAATTATTGAGATTTTATAGAATTTAAATGGCAATGACATTGAGATAGGTTTCAGGAGTAGGCGACTGCCTACCTACCTATTACCTAGTTTTACTTAGTAGCACTGAGGCTTTAGTTAGTAGAATCGAAACTCCGCTCGAAAGGCGCTCCTACTGGTTGGTTCATTGGAGTAGGCCAATCAGAGCACTGAACGCGGTTTCGTTTCAATTACTTTAAACGGAGACAAACTTGTACCATCTTATACCTTAGTATAAGAGAGCTTACCCTCTGATGGATTATAAGTTACGAATAATTTACCCCTTAGGCACTTTAAAAGTGAATATTAAGATTAATATTTTCGAAACAGCAGCTGTAGCCAAATGCCATTTAGCGCTTGTCTTAGAAAACCAAATTATATGAAATTGACGTAAATTTTGACACTTCTCAGTGTCATCCCCATACATTCAGTTTTCTAATCTTTCTGTAGACAAGCGCTAAAGTAGCGTTTGTCTAAAGGCACTGTACAGCTGACTCTCATTTATAGGAACTAGATTTATTTTATTTGAATATTTTCGCTGATTTATGCGAATGACATAAGTAGATACTCACTTGTGTGAATCATGTGCACTAGCATGGTCCTTCGCACCGACGTTCAGTAACTGAAACAAAATTTCTCTTTTTAGCTAAATACTGCATTATCTCACACTAGGATTCTCTGATATGTCATGGGCGCGTGTACAAATATATAATTTCACATACTAACTAACTAATGATGAAATACTCAAAAGCCACTCAATTCTAAGACGATCTCAAGAATTAAATAAGGATAATTCTGTCACTATAAATCCAAAGTTAGAACCATATTTAAGTACAAACTTAAAATTCAGTACAATTCAGTATTCCATTGTAAATAACGCATGGCAACTAGACCCAGAATAAGAATGTGTAGAAAACATAAAGAATTGTTCTATGCGGTATTTATGCTCGCGAAGCGTTGCGCGTTGTACAAAAGACGGTAGTCCACCTTGCGGATTTTCTTAAACTATTTTTACTCTATAAAATATATTCTGGGATGCTGAATCGAAAAACAATACTACAACGCTTTCACAACACTGACATAATTTTCAAATTCAAATTCATTTATTGTTTGTTACATGTTATCAATAGATGTCATTCATATTCGTTATTTTTGTTATTCATTATGTCAAATGATTTTGATATCTACATTTCAAAAAAAATCTAGTTTATTTTATACAGTTAATACAGCATACAATAGAGGAATTAGTTATTATAGCAAATATATAAAAACTTGACTTACCAATATACTAAATAATAAAGCGTTAAATAAATACATTTTGTAGACTGCGCAGTGTGCACGCGCAGCCACTGTGTGTGCTGCACCAGTCGTCTGAAAAATGCTTGCCGTTTTTTAGAAGTTATTTTATATTACCTATATTTATCCTACAATAGGTACCTAATAATATAGATTGCGGGTTGATACCCAGAGTTTTCCTCATTCCGCTTCTGATAAAGAATTAAACAATGCACACATTTTAATTAGGAAAATATTTTGCTAACTCCGCGCGCATTGCGTAAATAGGTAGGTGTCGCCCGCGGCTTCACCCGCTAATACATGTACTTTTGTAATCCGTTGTTGTCGACCCCGCTGTTTTCTATCATCTCTGTAAGCAAAAGGTTGAAGCAAGTTTACGTAATATGTATAAATCGATACCGCTCATGACTTCTACTTGTAATGGAGAATGTTACTGTAACGTAAAATTAAGAAGGTTACACGCATATTTCCATCAGAACACTACGGATGGGGCCCAATAGGGCTGATGCCGATATGGAGCCGCGGAGAACCTAACGGGTTACCGGTGCACCGTCTCGAAGTGCAGGAATAAGAACGGGGTGGTTATACACAGTAAGAGTCTGACCCTAAAGGCGGGAGAAGTAATTCGATGATTTTTCCCCCCTTAAAAAAAGACGCATATTTCGGTCAATTTTTATTGTACGACAAAACTAAGTATACATGTCAATTCGTAACAGCGAGGACTTCATAATGACACATATTTTAAAAACGGTAACGGTTTCATTCTGGTCAATATTTATGATTGAGTTTTTTCTCTGAAGGTCTTCGTCATCCTGAGCCTCTCTTCTTTAAGTACTAAAATACATTATATTAATACCCGGCGGGTGACATACATTCAGGAACGCACTCGTTCTCTAAGTTTTCATTTAACAATTTAGCTCTAAGCCCCGGCTCGAAGTGCAGGTTAAGTCCTCCGCGGCACCTAGGCTATAGTTTGCTCGCTCCACTCGCTTACTGTAGCTTCCGTCATGCCAGTCTAGCCTGTCCGCCTTCAATGTCGGGCTGCCATCTAAGGTAGTATTTTTAATCATTTAAGTACTACATTTTTTGGTGTTAAGTATATATTTTTGGTAACAGAACTAATGGTATCAAAGTATTTTCTGGTGGTAATAATATTTAATCTCTTATATAATATTACAAAATAGGTACAATAGTACACACCTAATCTCATTTTTTTTTTAATTATACCATTTCCTTCCGCTTAAAATACATTAATTTATTTCAACGGTTTCGCTAGAGGCATAATTGGGTAATTTTTTATATAGATCTAAACAGTTGCCGTTGACGACAGTAGACTGCCTCGTTGGCCGAGTGGTCGCAAGTGTGACTGCCGGGCAAGGGGTCTCGGGTTCGATTCGCGGGTCTTGCAAAGTACTACTGGGTTTAATATTCTCAGTGGTAGCACGAAGTCTGGAATTCTGCCCAGTATATAGCAATAGGCTCACCCCCTGCCCCCATTACATGGAACTCAAAACAAATAATGGAAGTGGGTGTTACATTATACAGTTAAGTGCCGTAATGTGCACCTCTGCCTAGCCCTTCGGGGATAAAAGGCGTATCTTTTCATTGCTCTCACATATACGTAAAGTATTGGAATATGTATCAGAGACATTTTAAAACATACTTTTTTAAAAATAGTAACGAATGGAGTTTCTTGCTCGTTCTTCTCCATTCGAGTCTACATTTTGGAATGAGCACCTAGCTTCACTGATGGACGGACTGACAGACTATAATTTATTTTGTGTTTTTTGACGTTTCAAAAGTACCAAATTAGGGTTTAGTTAAAATAAATGCTTTGACTTGACTGGAGTTATAAACAGTATAACTAACTCGACTTTCTTTTACCTTAAAAAATAACTGGGATGGATAGACAATATTCATTAATAGAAACCTGTCAGGTTTCCGCACACAACCACTTTTTTTAGGGGGAATATCGTTCAATGGCTTCATCCATCTTGTTTGAGGCCAGAGGACAACCGATCGACCAAGTCCCTTGTTTATGCAACACCAATTCCGTCGATGGAAATCCTTAGGAAAATAATTGTAGCGGCTGAAGAAATAAGACGCTCCTTCAGTTCAAGAGTGACCGTCACAGAGATTAGGAAGCGTGTGTAGGCAATTAGGCATGTATTCATCATAGGAAAGGTCACTTTACCCAAAATTTTGTAAATAATTATGTTTTTGAAATTTTGAGAATATTATAATTTATTTAGTATTTATGGGTAGCTAATGAACCAAGGAAGTTTTTCTACTAGTTTGTACGCTTAGTCTTTATATATATAATTCTTCTATGAGTGTGTATGTCACTGAACTTCTCTCAAACGACTGGACCGATTTTGATGAAATTTTTTTTGTGTATTCAAGGGGATCTGGGAATGGGTTTGGATTCACACATCAACCCGGCAGATGGCGCTGCAGTCGAGGTTTAGGTTATTTATCCTAAACAGCTGAACTAATTTGAATGATTTTTTGTTTATACATTCAAGTGGATATGCAGGACAACGTCTGTCAGGTCTGCTAGTGTAATATAAGTTTTTTAAGCTCAATGCAGTTTTCTATTGACCAAATTAGTGACTCATACTCAAAATGATGATGATACTCAAAATGAGTAAATAACTCATTTTTTAAAACGAATGATATTTATGAAAATTTATTTATTCATTTATTTTAGTTTTATACAATTGCATAAGGAAAACTTAATGCTAACAGCATTCTCTGCCAGTCATCCTTTGAGTAGTGCAGAAATGTATGTGGTAGGTGGTAAGCTGTAATGTAAATGTTATGAGAGATCGTGGTAAAAATAATCCAAATTAATAAAAGAGTATCAAAAGCATACTTAAAATACGTAAATATTATATATATTGACAATAATTG